AGGACACACCAAGCTGGGTGTAATAGAAAGGAAGCAGCATTGTTCACTTTATCCCAAGATATTGTGCTGTATGTAAGCTGTTGTGATTTGAATGTTTCCAAATGGTCTGGAACTCATGACCCTTTTTACCATTTTGGTTATAAGAAAAAAATAAATCAAATCAGCACTTCTATTTTCTGGTTTCTACAGCCACAGCAGTAATATCTTCTTTATCATGTTTCCCACGGTAAATAATAGCTAGAAAATTCTGTTTGTATTGTGGTAATAACGAAGATTTGTTCAATGGGTGTTTAGCTGATTTTGGAAATAATTTGTTAGTGTAAAATACTATACAAGACTTGTGGTTCCTGCAATTCACAAGTGAGTTGTAGAGTAATTTTATCATTCAGATACCTCCCTCTCCATTATGTAGATGTTTCAGATAATATCTAGGAGTGAAAACAGTTTGATCAGATCTATCATTATGATTTTACATTAAAAAATATTAACCTTTTTTTCTTAATTTACACTTTTATAATTACTTTTGTAGATACTTGGCCAGTTAAAGTTTTAAAATTATCAGGCTACATTGTAATTTACCTTTTTAATCCAGTTATTCAGTGCAGTTCATGTCCTCTTAATCCATTCAGCTACTTTATAGCTTATTCTTTTAACATTTTTCACTTCCATTTTATGTGTATCTTTTTTTTCCAACTGATCTTCTATTCTCTGTCCTCCTCAGCCTTCACTTGATGTCTGCATGATTTTCATTGTTTTGTCTTTATCTTCTCTATAGTTTTGCAATCTTGTACTTGTGGAGGCAGTTTTGTGCCTTTTTTGCAAATGGTTGCTTTAGAAAAGGAGTCTCTACCTCATTTCTAATCTAAGTTCAATATGTTTTTGCTCTTTTTTTCAGTGTTACCTTTATCAAATTGTCCTGTTCCCTGTTTTTTATTTGCCAAATTTTGTTGGGTCAGTTTCCTTTGTTTGTAGATATGTTAGATTGTTGAAATTTTAAGTAGAAATACGAAATAGACCCCACATTTCAATCTTTATATAATTTATGTACTTAGTCACATATCAGTGTATGAGATATGACTTCCAATCTCAGGACTCTCAAAGAAATGCATAGTAATGGAGGCTTATATTTCCACAGTAATGGGAGACACTATGGTAAAGAGCCAGAAGTACAGGATTTAAGAGAAATGAGTTTTGTCAGTAAAATAGGCAGCAACCCATTTCTTTTGCTTCTTATTTGTTAAGGCTTATGCTGTATAAACTTTATTTTTATTTTTTTCCTTTCCCTTATTTTTTCACCATATTTTTTTCCCATTTTTCAGTGTCCTATTACAGAATTTCCTTCTATTAAAACAATAAAAAACTTTTGCCTATAATGCCAATAATAAGATTTAAATAAGAGGACTAAACTAAGCAGTGCAAGTTTTGGAACCAATTTCATTTTTCAGAGTGGCTACACTAATCAATTGAGTTTGCCGTCTCCCTCCCTGCCTCACCAGTCGCTGTTCGTGGTCAGTCCCCCCAAACGCTTCTGGATTATTCCATGGCTTTGAGCCTTTCCCTTTCCATAACATTGTGTATATATTTATATATATATTTTTTTTACATTCTCTTTCTTTGGCATAGCACCCTCTACACCCATCACTTCCTTTTTCTTTCTGTTTCTTTCTTTCTGTAGAATGAAGGAGTTAAATACAGTATATATATTGTGTTTTCAGTATATGAAATTGTTATAGCCTGGCAAAATCCAATGATGTATAAACCATGCAATGCTGTCTGTTTGTAATTGTTTTGTGGACTAATATATATTTGTATGTATATTTTGGCTTTAAGTTTTGGATTTTACAGGTTTTGTGTGTATTGTGATGTGCTCATGAGGATGGAAATTGTGAAGCAATTGTATGTAAAGTTCTGTAGTTGTCAAAAAAAGAAAAAAAAAGAAAAGAGTGAGGAGGGGCAACATGTTGTACTTCTAGAAACTTCCTGAGGCTGCAGAATGTTTCCAATGTCCAGTATTTATTGTAACTAAATATTTTTAAGCATTAAAAGAAAGTGACAATGGGACTAGAGTGAAATCTAGACAAGGTCACAGAGGCAAATACTTGAAAAAGCAGGCTATTTTAATACATCTTTGCTTGGATAGTATTTCTTATCTATAAATCACATCCAAAACACCTTTTATTAGTTTAGACTTCCTAGCACCAGCACCTTTTTATTTATTTTTCATTTTATTTTATTTTATTTTTATTCATTGTTGTTCAAGATTGACCTAAGAAGACAAGTCATTTTAGATTTTAACATTTACCTTTTTTATAGGTTATATAATTAATAAGCATTTTCAGCATACATCCTCACAATGATAATCATTTTGTAGTTAAAAGATAATGTTATAAGAATATTTAATTTCATGACATTTCTTCTGTTAAAAACTCACTTTTTGGAGTAATAGAATCCACTTATAATTTTATGAGAATATTTTGTTTCAAGATTTTTCCTCTGTTAAAACTCTTTTTGGAAAGATTTTTTGATTAGTAAATCTAGTGATGGTTTAAACATAGCAAAGAATACCTACAATCAGTTTGAAAGCTATATTGTCTGAGCCTTTTCATGCAAAATGAAGATGTCTTTAAATATCCTTGTTTACTTTCAGCTATTGGGAATCGTGTGCCTAAGTTGAAGTCAAGTAAGGGACGCTAGTGGAAGCCGAGACCAGCTAATGTGTCCAGTTAGAGCACACAAGGGTTTAACACATGAAACATTGCTTAGATATTTGCCATTCTCCATTGCTTTGATGTACAGGTTGAATAGGAAGTTTCCTTTATGGGTTGAGATATTTTTTTGATGTTGAAAATGTTTTTTGTTTTATTATATATATTTTTTATTGTTATTGTTTCTTAAAGCCTGTAAGATTTCAGGATTTATAGAATATCTATCTTTTGTTTTATTCCTTTTTTTTTAAATCTGAGTGAGTATATTACAGAACTATTGTTTTATCTCGCACTTTAAGATATAGCATTGAACTGCAATGGAGTTTTGGCAATATCAAAGGGATTTATTCATATGCCTGTTTAAATATGAAAAGCCAGTATTGCCATCACCAATATGAAACATTATAGTTAGTTCTATCTGTACTATTTATTCAAGTGCAATAAGTTTACTAGTTAGGTAACATTTTTTTAAAATCTTAAAATATATACTTGATGAATTCTTGATTTAAGTCTACCTTCCATACTTAGCCTTTTTTCTCAACATACAATAACTAAGGAGAATTGTTTTCCCCATTTAATTTCAGTTTATTCTTACAGCTGACTCTTAATACTTTTGAGAAATGAACTTTAACTGGCATTTTAACAGGTTCTCTTGCACTCTTTAACTCAATAACGCCGGGTAAAGAAATTTGGCATGTGGACATGATAGCAAGGATGTTAGCGTGTATCAACAGCTTCCCCTGCTTGGTTCATTTGGTAGTTTGTGGGCAATGATGCCGCTGCTGTTGGAGAAAAACAAGCTCCATCCAATGAGCCAACTTTGCAGGAATGGTTGTGATATGATGCTACCTGCTACTTTGTCCACAACAGCCATGGCATGTATGTACATGCCACCCGGCGTCATGGGGTTAACATCTGGTCTTTGCTCTTACTTTCATATAAGAACGTTCACCATTTCATACTAGCTTCGGGGTGTATCATTATTTCCCTTACTTGACTTCTCTTAAATGAAAAAGGTGATTTCTTTTCAGGGATTCAATGAAAATATGCTGTCTTACTTTTTTTTTTTCAAACTCTTGAGATTTTGTTTCTGATCTTTTTTTTCTTCTTTTTTTTTTAATGTATATCTCTCTGGATTACATGTGGCATCTAGAGCATGTATTGACAGAAAAGTCCAAATTTCTAGTGTATTTTCCAGGGATTTTGTTGGGCTCAATTTTGTGAATTCTCAGAGCACTCCACAGAATTTCATTACTTTCTGTGCGTATCTTGTTACCTTTTTTTTTATTTCATACTTGGTTTGGTTTTCTTACAAAGGAATGATACATTGTGGTGAGACTGGTATCACAGTTGGTTATCGGGTAGTGGATTTGATCTTCCGTGATTATAATCTATCTTGAAACTGTGTGAATTTTTAGTTTCATTTCTCTTTTTTATCAGCTTGGTACATTCTATTCTCATTATCTTTGCTCTTCAGTAATTTACTGAAAAATGTTTGTTAAGATAGATTTTTGTTAATTCCTTTTTTGATAACTATTTAGACCTGTTGTATCTATGCATCCTCTTCCCTGGAAACAATTTAGCAGCAAGAATGTTGGATAATGTATATGTATATTTATATGCATATATATCTTTAATAGGCCTACTAACTTAGATTAATGGTAAGGAAAGAATTTGGTACAACATAACTGTAGTAGAAGTTTGGACATGATATTATGTATAGGTTGCTATCAGTCCCATGGAATGTTATATAACTATTCATGTATATTATTAAGACTTAAGTTTTCTGTAGATTTCATAGATACTGTTTCCATTTTTATAATAATTTATATATTTTTCAGTTTCTTTTTTGATGTTTCACTTCATTTTTTAAAAATTGAATAAAGTTTATTTTTATATCTTTACTGAATTACATAGTATATACTATATGGTAACTTTTATCTAAAAAAATGTGATTTATGATTAAAAATATTTTTTTTCATCATTTGTTATTTATTTAGCCTTTGTGGAAAAACATCTAAATATGTATACATGCACTATACTGTATCTGTGCATGTATGACACACAAAAAAATATATAGAAGCTGTACCACAGTACTCTATGTCATATGGCTGTTTACAAAGTTTAAAGAAACCAATGCGGGCTACTAGTAGAGAAAATATAGTTTGGTGAAATGCTCAATCATCAATGAATTAATTTTTATCTCAATTGTGTACTCTTTTCCTTGTTTCAGAAATGTTACTTTTTATTGCTATTAGTATTATTTATAACATTATCATAGTCATAATGTCCCTCCCAAAACCTAGCTCGTTGTCGTTGTGGGAGGGCTTAGGGGATGAGGACTGAGACCCAATGTAGAGGATTACTCCTGCCTTGCCCTTGCCTCAACTAATTTTGCTTGGTCCTTTCTTCTCTTCTTTCCTCTTCTGTGTCTTCTTTATTCCCTTCTTCTATCCCATTCCTACTTTCCAGCCTTGGTGAATATGATGCAGTAGCAGTACAGTGTTACACTCTTCCTCCAAGAGGCCAACGTAAATCCCACGTCAGTATTGCCAAGATTAGCTTTTGCTTGGATTGTCTTGTCTGACAATATCAACCCCTTCCTCGTCAATGTCAAATGCCACCCACCCAAACATTAGCGCTCCACAGCCTGCTGCCCTCTATGTACCCATAGAACTGAGAACCTTTGTTTCTCAGTCCTTTATACCAAATTCCCCTCCACAAACCCTTGAAAATATCCAAAACTTCATAAAGATGACCCAAGGGAACACTCCATTCCCTCATCCACCCCCTAATCCCTCTGTTCCTATTCCTGCTGCATTTAAAGTATTTGCAGATATTCATCCTCCTCCTTCCCAAGTTCCCTCCAGCCCCCTTCCTCCTACACCCTCTCAACATACCCCACCCCCTCTACCACTTCCAGTTGAATACTCTCATGAATCCTCTTTATCACTTTTCTTTTCTCCTGATGCTTCACTACCTTCCCCAATCTCCCTTTTCAACCCCTAGATTCTTCTCTTCCTCCTCCAACAGACACCTGTGTTTTCCTACTCCTTCCATAGTCACAGATACACTGCAATTCACTCATTTGCTCTACCCCTTATATTATTCCCCCAACCTCTTCCCAAAATACCTCATCCTCTCAACCACCCATCCCCCCCCCCCCAAGAAAAAAAAAAAAAAAAAACTTATCTTTCCCTACTATCCCTCCCACTCCCTCCTGGATACACACATGAATCTCTTTTATCGCAATACCCTTCCCCAGACACCACTGTCCCTATTGAACCCCCAGACACTACTTCACCTACTCCTGATCCTTTATCTCAACCCTCAGATACCTAATCCCCTACTAGTAAGACAACCATATCTATCATTATCTCTTATTATCCCTATTCCTTCCATAGTCACAGATACAATGCAATTCATTTAATTGCTCTACCTTCTTAACCTTTCCCACTTATTAATCAATACTCTACTTCATTTACTTTCCCCCTTTCCCATTTCCTTACCATCCTCTCCTACAGCACCTCCACTCTCCCCATATTTTTCTGTTACTCTTCAACAGTTATCTCTATTCTTCCTTGAACATTTTTTCCTATACCTTCCCCAGTGACAGATACACTGTAATTCACTCAATCACCGTACCCTCCCCTATAAACTAATATCTGCTCTAATTCACTTATTCCCCTATTCCCCCTTTTCACTACCCTACTATCGTATAACGTTCTTAAACCTTTGACATCTAACTCATTCTATTGTAATCTTTAACTCTCCTTTGCCCTTTACGACGCAATACTTTACCATAGTGCTACATGGCCTTTGATGTCTTGGACATTTATTTTCAAACATTAATTAATTAAATTTATAGTCATAATGTGAATGATAAAGATATTGATAGCATTAGGAAAAAAATCCCCAAAACTCAAGGAAAGAGGAAATCAAGTGAGGACACAGGTGAGGTCATGGAATCATATGTGTAAAGACAATTCACAAAACAAAACTGCTGTGGTCATTACATGGTCCTAACAGTATTGGATTGAAAAATGTTATCTTAAACTTGAAAATTATTATTCATGGTATATGTATGAGTATTTCCATTTAACAAATAGGACTATTCTAAAAGTATTTTATTTATTTATTGAAAAATTTCTGCCGTGTTAACATTTAAGGTCATTAGCAGCATATACAAAATATAATAATAGGGTGAGGCTTAGGGGCAAAGTGCCTAGATAAGGAGTGGTCATGCAGGGTTATGATGAAGTATTGTGACAAAAAGATTACAAATTTGTTCACAATTAGGACAAATTATGTTACATGTCAAAGGTTGTGGAGTGCTGTAGGTTAATATGGTAGCGGAAAGGGTAAAGAGAGAATAGCAAACTGAATACAAAGGCCATTCAGAACTGACACTAAGCCAGTTTTTGATCCTTTCAGCACGGCTCTCACATTTTAGAATGTGGACAGAAAGGGATGAAAAGAATGAAAAGGAAAGGTGAAGAAAAGACCATGCAAAATTAGTTGAGGTGAGGCCTAAGACCAAAGGCAAGGGTGATCCTTGGGCCTCAGTCTGTCTCCTAAGTCCCCCCACGCCAACGGGCATGAAATGGGGGGGAGGGTCTAAAAGTATTACTAACTCGATAAAAGTTATTCAGTAAATAATCAGTATTCAGTAAATAATCAGTATTCAGTAAATAATCAGTATTTAGCACACTACTTATTAGTTTTGGTCACCGGTAACTTTTGTACACTAATAGTGAACTCAGATCTATATTTGTTTGTAAAAGAGACAAATTCTCATCTAATACTGGAACATTTTGTCCACTAAACACCAAGCTGCACACTTTGTGTTGGTAACTAAAGGCAGACAATAAGAAATTAATTGTGCACATATATGTTAATTTGGTTGACATTAACAAAATTTTGTGTTTTATATTATATCATTCATTGGCACAGTGATTAATTACCCTAAAATCCACAGTACGAACAAAAATTGGGAAAAAGAATAATTGTGATAGTTTTTTTACTGCTGTTCAACAGTCTATAAACAAATTATTCAATCCAAATAAGTCTTAGTTTCACACTTATGAGGATTTTAACCCCCTATCCAGTCAAATTTACCCCTATGGTACAAATGTGTTATATAAACATGATTATTCTACACATTATACATGAATATATATTACATGAAAAATTAAGGAGCCAAAGGTCATGATATTTCTTTCTTAGGTAGGTTTCCCACCAAATCCCTTTGCTCATTGTTGTCATGAGGGGGTTTAGGAGACAGACTTGAGGCCCAGTGTTGGGGATCACCCCTACCTTGGACCTCAGTCCTTGCTTAAACTAATTTTGCATGTTCTTTTCTTCTCCCCCTTTCCATTTCTCTCTTCTTCATCTCCTTATCCTGTTCACTTCCTAAAAGAATGAAAGTCTTGAGTCTTGAGTGGCCATTATATACCATTTGCTATTCCCTCTTTACCTTTTTCACTACCATACTTACCTACAGTGCTCTACAACCTTTGTCATCTGACATATTTTGTCCTAATTGTTAACTCATTTTAAATTTTTTGCCACAATACTTTATCATAGTGCTGTATGACCTTTTCTTACATGGGGCTTTGCCCCCATGCCTAACCTTATTGCTAAATCTTGAATACAATGCTCATGACCTTCAATGTTGATGAGGCAGGAAATATTCAATAAATACTGGAATTTAAAGTTAGTGAAAGTTAGTGACAATGGAAGATCCGTTCCCAATTCTTTCCACACTATCTTTGGTCAAAAATTGTACCTCAGTATACTACCTGCTTTTTTCTGATTTTCTTCCTCTTCATTTCTGTTACTTTGATGTTGGCTTCTTACCTTTCCTACCTCCATTTTTTGGGGTACATAATCAACCGGAAGTTAATTTTCTTTATTTTTTTCTGTAAAACATTTCTCCAGTTTTCTTTACTTAACCACATTTGAAAGATACTGGAAAACCAAACAACATAAATATTCATGGACAATTTATTTGATAACATAAAGTGAACTTCACTTTTATCCAGATTCCAATAACAATTAAGCTAATAACAATAACATTACTAAATCAGAAGATACCAAAGCAGGAAACAATGGACTGTAACATTGTAAATCATATGGCTCTTTTTATCAAAATGGATTATAACAATATTTTTTAAGATTTATATTTGATGCTTGATTTCTTTTAAGCTAATGATTGATGATTATCAGTGTTTCTGGTTTTATTTCTCTAAAAATATTAACAAAGCAATACACTAACCTTTAAAAAAAATCTTTAGTTTCCCTAACCTTAAACTTAAATACAGTTTAATAAAATTTATAATATATTATGGTTAATATGTCTGGAAATATGTGTGATGTGAAACACAATAAATAAAGTACCTGAACAATAATTGATGAGTTTGAATTAATATTCCCAAATACTTGATAACAAAAAATATAGGTATTAAATAGGGAACAAAAAAGTATTTGAACTTTTGAACGTCAACATTTTTCTATCATTCCCATTGTGGAAAATTATTATAAACAACTAAAATCTTAACTTAAGGTCTGGCCTCTTGTTCAAAGTTATCTAGATATACAAATCAAGTTGTAACTTTTCGTACAATCTTAAAAAGCAAAAGCATGTAATCAAGGTACAAAAGTTAAACTATCAATATCCTTTTAGTTAAGATATTTGAATGTAACTATAATGGTAAGACATGCTTTAATGTGTATGGCAATTGGATAACTTTCATTTATTCATTTACTCACTTGTTTTCTTCCTTATCTCTCATTCAACACAAACATTCACCATTACCTGTGTCCTGTGCAAAGCTGCGCTTTAAGATTTTACGCACATTAGCACCATCAAAATTTGCAATGTGTATATGCATGTGTGTATAAATGTGTATATATATATATACTTATACACACAGACATACGTATATGTTGTATGCACATGTATACAACATAAAACACGTATACATGCGCATGAATATGTCGTATGCACGTGAATGAATATGTCACATGCACGCGCATGAATATGTTGCATGGGTGCACATGAATATGTCACATGGGCGTGCATGAATATGTCGCACTGGTGTGTATGAATATGTCGCATAGGCGTGCACAAATATGTCGCATCCCTGCCCATGAATGTCGCATGCATGCCCGTGAATATGTTGCATGCATGTGAATGAATACGTCACATGCACAAGCATGAATGTCCCATGCATGAATATGTATGCACGCATATAAATGTCGTGTACATGCGCATAAGTGTCATATGCACAAGCATGAATGTCGTATGCACGCGTATGAATGTCATGTGCACACGCAAGAATATGTATGCACACGCATGAATACAACGTATATACGCACATGAATGTCCTAGGCACAGGCACGAAAATGTCATATACACACGCACGAATATGTTGTATGCACACACAAGAATACGTCATAAGCACTCGCATGAATATGTCTGGTGTATACGTATAACATATCATGTGTGTCACATACACACACACAAAGACCTCTTGACAAAACTTATCTATTCTGATGTTATTTACTAAATATCATCACTGATCATTACAATAAAAAGGAACTTAAAAGAGTAACCTACCTAAATTGAAATTTGTTAGGACATTTGATCTTGCCAAAACATATATTACCTGTATCACAATCTTTATTTATACTATTTGGATGGCATTTGGAAAGTTTTGAACTCCCATGTTATATACACAACAAATATGATAAAATACGTCAGAACAAACATATGGAATATCCTCTTTTAAATCAATACATTCACTCCTTCCAACATTTTGCGAGCATTTCTTATCACAAAATATAATAAAAATATCTGCGTGGTAGCGCATACGAACACATCACTTCAACAACTCTTGGTAACCCCAAAATTTAATACAATACTTGTACTACTGAGCATGCTTGCACTTGTTTCTTGTTTTCAATCTAAGTTCAGTAGCCACGGTAACAAGAATACAATGCAAACTTCAACAATGTAACCAACAGCAACTCATCCTAAATATCTCTGATAGCAACAAGTCTCAAGACAGCATTCAACAAGTTTAATAATTTTCACAAGTCCAACATCTTCACTGGAGGGCCTTTTGTAATTTTCAAGGAACAATTTCTACACATACTGAGCTATATGTTTCAGAAACAACCACATATAAAGGTGGCAATTTATGGGGGGGAAAAAAAAAAAAAAAAAAAAAAAAAAAAAAAAAAAAAAAAAAACATTGAAGAGACCATTTACCAGCATGTACTGTGGAAATGGATTTCCCATTTCTTAATAACACACAAAATTTTTCAAATGAACAAATTACTCAACCATACATAAACATCACTATCCACATTATTGCTCCTGTGTAATGCACAATTTCCTCATATCCTAAGATCTAATTAAAAGTTATTGCATGAAGTATTTGCCAAAATAAGCGTAAAAAAAGCCATGAATACATTCTTTTCATAATGACCTAAAGCTACTGTATCCCCTGAAGGCATTTCTAAAAATCATTACCTCTCTCAGTAGTAGCTCATGAAATAATTCATAAGATAACAATCATAGAGTAGCACATGCACTACATGTTCCCTGCATCTTAAAAAAGAGTACAGGCTCATCAATTAGAGCTTCCTATACAATAATCCCATGAACTTCATATGGAAAAGAATCTATCTCCTGAGAATAGAGTCAAAATATTACACTCTTCTTCCTACAGACTGACCTGAGAAGCATTACAGTATGGTCTTCTTAGCACACAAGATGTCCCGTATTCACATTCCGCTGAAATCTATTTTACGACAGCAATTCACCTTTGAATATTTCCATACTTGCATACATTACTGACTTTTTCAGAATTAGAAAATTTGGTCTTGAAATTTATTTATTTCTCATAAAATATATCCATAAACATATTAATGAGTATATGTATGTGAACATATTGTGGATTACAGATGTCAGCACAAATAATCATACATCCAAACAGGCACTTTTGCATGCATTCAAACATACACATACTACACATTTACAAGCTTTACATTAAAAAAGGAGAAAAGAAAAGAAAAAGAAAAAAAAAAAGAAAAAAAAATAATAATAATAATAAAAAAAAAGCCGCATCATATTGCGAGCAATTAAAAAATCTATTATGACACTTCCTTATTATGCTTTCCCACATTCAGTCACATCAGTAATAAAAACTGTTGTCACTAGGACTCACTAGTTTCCAAGCTATACCCACATAAATCACAATGATAACACTTATATACCATTATTTATGACATGGAAGGCCAAGCCGAGGGCCCAGCTGATTTCGTAGCCATCAATCTTCTTGTACAACTGAAAATGCATGAAGATCTCTGTTAACATCTAATGGTAAGACAGGGTAAAGTAGAGAAGAGAGAAATGTGGACAGAAGAGATTGAAAAGTTAGAAAGGTTTGGGAAAATGGAAGAAAGATGCAGGGTTCTCAAAGTTGTAGAGTATAGCATGGTGCAAAAGCAGTAAATTATCATCTATATCCATTTTTTAGCATCTAATGTTTAGAAAATGGCAGAAATGCTGCTATGGAAAAGTGGCCAGCCCTGCATAGCAGCAGGGCAGGGGGGTGAAAAATTCATTTTTGGGACTAGACTAAAAATAGCCGGTGGCAAAATCAGCCACAGATAGTAATTTGCCACTGGTGGCTGGCTATTTTTGAGAGCCATGGAGACTTAAAGAGAAGGTATAGGACAGAAGTTGGCAAGGTTAAACCATGATGGAAAACAGAAAACCACAGA